GCTTGCGATAGTGTTCTTAGCAATCACGTATATTAATTATCCATGGTCATGCTGTGTAGAGGAAAATTGTGCCCAATATATAGTTTCTTTCAAATGTATGACTGTATCATTGTCAGCTGGTAATGTGGGTTTTTAATTGTAGGTGGAGAGAAATCTTGCCTACTTGTCTCCCTGATAGTTTCCTTTGCTAAAAATGGATCTTGACACATCTGCTTCATTGGAAAAACTACAAAACTGACAGTTGAAGAAATACAGGTGGATGTGAAAGTTACGTGCCTCAGGCAAATGATAGCTTAATTTGCTCTTTCATGAGTGAATAGGTCTGTCTTGCAGGAATGTATATTTATCTACTATCTTTGGTAGTAGATTGAGGCAAGATAATTCATCTTCATTCATTAGATCAATGTGAGAATGTATTCAGAATAGGCTGGCATGTCATCTGTTGTACTCAGGGTGGTTTGACTCGTAGTGGAATAATGTTGATCATAGTACAGCTGGGCTCTGATGTTAATGCATGCAACTTATCTCAGTGAATTTAGCAATTTGTCACAAAAGTGGTAAAATAGAGACCTGTGTTAAAGGTACACCACAAATTTTGCATCCTTGTGAAGCTTATGCTTCTACTTCACCTGTGGAGACTGACATCAGAACAATTGTGAGCAACAACACAGCACCTGTGGCTGAGGTTTTCCAGAAGCTTTCACCTGCTAGGCAGGTATGTGGAAGCCTGGGCTTTGTCAGAAGACAGAGTACAAAAATGTTTTGTCCTCTACAGAGGGATTTTAGGGAAGCCTACACCTTTGGGCTGAAGTGTGCAGCTCCTAAGGAGGGTAAATAATCCTATAAGTACTTAAATCTGTTTTTCTATGATAAGCTACACTTCAAAGACTGCTGAAAGTTGGAAACAAGGGTCACAAGGTGATGTCTGGATGATCTTTTCCTTTGCAGTATAATGACTTTTCTTCCTAAGGATTTGGCTTTAAAAGTTGCATCTTCAGGCAGGAGATGGGCCTATTTGAGGCTTAGGGACAGGAAAATGGCATTTTTTCACAGGGCAAGATGCATCTTCTACAGGATTCACAGCAATGTTGAAACTGCCTGAAATGTCTTGCAGAACCAGACTCAAATGTTCCATATGTTCCTGCATGCTCTATTTTACTGGGCTTTCTAGATAATCTTATTGGCTGAAATCACATGGAGTAATTCCTGGACACTGAGGTTTTATCACTTGTTTTTTTTCTATAGAATGGTAGAAAATGACAATAACTCATCCTCTGATGTGGGTTGATATCTTTGAGTAACTGTAACTTAGAAGTTAATCACGATGTCCTATTCTTGATTTCATAGGATATCCTGAGTTGAAAGGAACCCATGAGGGTCACTGAGATCACCCAAAATTCAATCCCTACATCTGAGAGTGTTGTTCAAGGGCTGCTTGAACTCTCAAGCTTGGGGCTGTGACCACTGATGAAGGGAGCCTATTTCAGTGCCCAGTCACCCTTTAGTGAAGAACTTTGTCCTGAAACTGAACCTGACCTTCCACTGTCACAGCTCTATGCTGTTTTCTTGGGTCATATTGCAGTCATTGGAGAGAAGACATCAGTGTTCTTTGAGCAACATCAGAAGCTGAAAGTAGTAGGGAAGGAAGCCAAATACCTGAGGAAATGTGCTTTGCTTTTCCAGGAACACTGCAGTTAAAGTTGCCAGGCAGCCTTAATTTGGCCAATTTTGTGTATGAAGCATCAACAGGTATCTAAATACTAGCGATTTCTGCCACAAGCCCCTGCTTTTGTTATGATACAGAATGAACTTTCTCTGTGGCTTTGTTGAGGGAGGACAGCTACAAGGACCTTTGCTTCAGTGGCCTGAATACAGATTACTTGACATATGTCTGCTGGAGACATGAGGATCTGACTCTCAGAAGTGATGAATTTTCAAAGCTGAGGCTGAAGTCAATGGGAGCTCTCTTAATTAGACTATATCATAATATGCATACACAGTGCTTGCTTTTGTGATTCTGTACATCTTGCTAGTTTTCTGAAAGCACACCAGATGGCCTCAATTGCATTATTTTGATGTGTGGCTTTTGGTCAACCTGAACATCCTTGTGGCTGCACCAGCTGCTCATCCAGCTCCTGCTTGGAAATATGTTGCCCGTGTTATGGCTTCACCTTGGGAGAGATGGAGCTTTGGCTTGGCTGAAGGCTTGCAGAGGAGCTTACTGACAGCAGGGAAAGGGTGACCTGATATCTTGTTTCAGACCCAGACCCTGAAATGATATATTTTTCTTGTGGTCCACTGTTTGACTCCTCGTGTGGTCACATCAGGTGACATGGCCAAGCTCTTGTGTGTCCTTGCCAGCCCTTTTGCTTGCTGTTGGTGCTGTCCTTGCTGACAGGCAGCTACTCTAACATCATGTGCTGCTGCATGGAGGCTCCTTAGTTCAGGTCCAGCTGATCTGCCAATTTTGCGCTGTGACTTAAAACTATTTTCAGCCTGTAATTACTACAATGAAAATACCAAAGAAATTGATTCCTTATATTCCTCACATTATATTACTCTGGATTCCTGTCCAAGTGCCAAGGGGTTAAATATGATTCATGTAATCTACTTTCTCACTAATCATTTATTCAATTACCTACTAGAACTTGAGCGAAAAAGACCAAAAAAGGAAAGAGGAGGCCAACCCACAGTGTATGTTCAATAAAGTGCTACAATCAACATTCAATCATTAATTATCTAATCAGCATTCTCTAAGTATTTTAGCCATAATCTCATTACTGTAATTAATTGCAAGAATCATTTTGTAAACAGCACAATAAAAGTATATGCAACATAACAGCACCAAAATTAAATCTAAATCCCAGAATGAATAACAGAGAAATCTGGAAGATATTACTAAGAGAGTGTCATTAAATAAGATCATATTTCAATGTCAAAATCTGGTGGGCTACTTGTGCTATGGGAGTAAATCAATAGTGTTGCATTGGAAAGACTGGGCCAAATCCACTTTGGTGCAATTAATCACAACTCCATTAAAACTCTGAGGGATGGAGGAGACTTCTTAGATAGTAAAAAATGAATCTCGTAGTTAGTGGGGCTGGCAAAGCTTCTCCAGTAAGCTAACTTTTTACATCTAATAGTTAAGGCTGTCTAAGTGCCTAATGGTATAGGGGAGCTAGTCCTTTTGCTCTTAATGGTGAAGTTGTGCTTGATTTTTGCATGTTGTTGAACAGCATTGTTTTTGAGTCCTGCTCTTCTGGTAGTGATAGTTCTACTTTTGCTTTTTTCCGGCTGCTTCTGGAATAAATAATCAAATGGTGCAGACAGATCCCCACAAATACCTGCTGGACTTACAGCAAAGGTATTTTATGGCTATCAGGATTCTATAACTAATATTCTAGCAGCACAATGGTACTGTCTTTGTTCTTACCAGCCATTTGACTGCGGCAAGTATTTTGTCATATTTTTCCCTCTTTTCATTTATTTTTTTCATTATTTTTTTTTTTTTTACGAATCAATGCCAGGATTAATTTAAAAGCTATAACACGATATATAAAAGAGCCCCAACAAGCATAGGGTTCGTTGTGCCATTGATTCTTTTTGAGAAGAATTCCCTGCTGACTGCAGTAGGGAGTTGCTCAAAGATATTGATAGCGCGTGTCCCTCTATAGAGGACTTAAATTAAAAACACAATACCTTTTAGTCAGAAAGGTCTGTGTGGAGTGCATTAGCTTGAGGAAAAGAACAGGATTGTATAAAAATACATGCTGTAGGGGAACTGTTGAATCATGGCCTGAACCTCTGATTGATCACCTGAGGAGAGAACTGAGTCAGCCTTGGGGCAGAGATGAAGGCAGTTCAGCTGTGTGACTGGAAGGGGTGGAGCCTGGCTGCATCCCTCCTAGGCTCATTGAAGGGCTGACTGCCACTGAGGAAGGAACTCTCTCTGGAGATCGCTCCTCTTGGAGTTTCTTGTGAGCCTACAATACTGGTGAACACTTTCCATTTATCTCCGTTTATTTTTTCCAGTGTGATAATCTTACCAGCCTAACTTCTCTGTGTACTTACTGATCATACAATACCATACAACATCTTTATGCTTTTTGATCTTACATACCCACTCACACAAGGGGGCAGACTCTAAACAACCCCTGCTAGAGAAAAATGAATGTTCAGATGGATGCTGTAACATAAATGCCTTCTACTACCCCTTCTGGAACTGGCAGAGCACTGGCTAAACAGAGCTCCTTGGGGGTGATGCCAAAAGAAGTACATCAGCTGGTAGCCAGTATGGGGAAGCTCTTATGCTTGGTGCTAAAAGCAGCATTTAATCTACCTGAGTTCACTGACAAAGGTCCAGATTTTTAAAGGAAGGCTTCCAAGCCTGATCTTGCCTTGTACTTGGTGTGGTACTATGCCAGTATGGGTCAGGATGTGCACTGGAAGGTTTGCTATGTCATTTAATGTATTTGAATTCCTGAATCCAGAGCATCCTTTAATTTCTCTGTCAAAGGAAACTCTACAGAGGAAATGCAGAATGCCTTGTTAATTCAGTTTTTAATGATGAATACCCTGTGGCTTTCTCTTTGATAATCACAGTTTGCCTCCGTGAGTAGGTCATACCTTTTTTAGCTCACTATGCCCCTTAATAAGACTGCAAATGCCTCCAGGGTAAAACTGAATGTTAGCCAGTTCTGGAGATGAGAGGAAGGACCAAGAATACAAAAATGGAGTTTTGGTCAGTGCCTATTTTGCAAGTGTACAAAGTGTGGAAATGCAACTGAGCCAGAGAACTGCAATTTATTGTGACCAAGTGTATGGGAACTGCTGAGTCACGGCCTGAACCTCTGATTAATCACCTGAGGTGAGCCTTGAGTCAGCCAGAGGAGCACAGGTGAAGGCAATTCACCTGTGCTGCCGGAAGGGGTGGAGCCAGGCTCCACCCCTCCTGGACCTATTTAAGAGCTGGCTACCAGAGAGGAAGGATCTCTTCTGGAGATCCCCTCTTTTGGTATCTTCTGGTGAGCTCAACCCAAGGGTAAGCTCTTCCACTTATTCTCTTTTGTGATCGTTGTCTGCTTTGCCTTACTCTCATTGATTGTATTGCGATTGTAACATCTTGGTTATACAAAATTATAACATCTTGGTTATACACCAAGAGAAGACATTTTAAGTCACTGACTAGTTTTCTTTAAAAAGATCTAAATGTTCAAGTATTTTTGGCTTGGAAGGATGATTCTGATGTTTTATAGAGTCCCCCTCGTGTTTAAATTAATTTGTCTTCAACAATGCCCTACTACATTTAGCTAGTATATCTAAACACCAGGATTAAACTATTTTTCTTTCTAGTAAAAAATAAAGTACTCTAGCTGTATGAATTAGTAACTTCAAAAGTAATAAATATTAACTTATTTTAAGACACTAGCATAATATTTTTCTGGTTTTGGACCATTAGATGATTTTTACACGTATGCTGTATTTGTTATGCTGCAGAGATGGCATGGGGTGCCTACAGCTGTTGGACCATCACTCAATTTATACTACAACTCATCGTGCACAGGAGGGGTGCGTCTATGTCTCAGGCTGCGTGAGGATGCCAGGACTCTTCACAGGACCTACGTAGTGCTCCACTTCTACTGAGTCCTTGGTAAGTAAGGCTGAGAGGGAGAAGACCTTGGGTTCTTCTGCTGGGGAAGCTTTGGTATGTGCAGAAGCTCTTCAGTCACTTTCAGAGTTTTGTTGGAGTGGGCCCTGCTGTGCACACTAGGGCACTGGGTTTTGAAGGGGAGAGAATGCTCTTCCTGTGGCCATTTGCTGGCTTGGAGTATGTGGTCTGGAAAGCATCCCTTGTTATATTAAACTGCTTGCTTCTCTGCAGTGTCTGGCATTTGGTGATTTTTAAGGTTTGGGTGCTTAGGAAGGTTTTGGAAAACATTAGCTGTCATAAAATGCAGTGTTTTGTATTGGAAATGGGTATTACCTTCCAGGTAGCAGTAATAGCTATTTTTTCCCTCAATGAATTAGATGGCACTTTCCATTGGCTTTAATCCTGACCCTCAAAGAATAGATTTTTACCATCTGCATAATAACTGAATTTGGGAAATAAGCTTTGGAGGGAATAGTAGATGCATCATCTGTCCACACGGGATTATTAAACTGAAACAGCTACGTGGTATTTTGTCAGTTGGCTCCTATCTTCAATTTGAAATCCGGACAGCTCAGTTTCTCCATTTACAGCTTTGAATATACTCAGGGAACTAATAAACTGAAATGACAGATGCAGAGGGATTACAGGATATCAAGCAATATTTTCCAAATGGGGTAACAACTGCTATGAAAAAACATTCTGTTGTAATAATGAAAGTTATCTTTTTACATCTTGTGCTTGCTGGACTTGAATCACCAAAGAGATGAGAATTTCTCCTGCAGATAAAACACTCAGTGAACCTGCTGTGGGGTGTTTGCCAGTAGTTTGCACTCTGGATAACAAATGTAAATAAGCCCTTCGCTATTGCATTGGGAAATAATGGCTATAACACCTCACTGCTTAGTCAGACTTCAATCTTTTGCCTCTCTGGAACTTCACCCTTTTACTGTAGCTGTATGAAACTAATGAGGTTTTGGTCAGTCTTTGAGGCACTCTGAGGCTGTGATGGAGTTGCTGAATTATCTGTCTGTACTCTTTCACAGGTCTCTCTGAGGCATGGGCTGCAATTAGAGAGCAATTGGGTGTGTAGAATAGTTGCTTCGGAAGCCCCCATGGGTTTTAGGACTCAGGAACTCCTGCTGCAAACAAACAAAGGCTGAGGCTTGGGCCATCTGAGAAGAGTTCTTATAAGTCAGAGGTGTGCAGAAGTCATTTAGCAATGGCCCTGTGGCAAGTGTGTACAGAGGGAGAGCATCTTAGCACTGAATTATGTGGGGGTGTAAGTACTTCAAATTTGTACTAGAAGCCTTCTAAGCATTTTAATCTTAGAGCAATGCTAATCTTAAGATCTCAAGACAAGAATACTGATTTACTTTCATTTGCTATTCGAAAAGCATTGCTACTTGAAGAAAAACTTTCAGGCATAATTTTAAGTACTTAACAGCATTGTGTTAATGGTCATTATGAAGAAAGATGACCCCCAAATACATTGTGTATTTTCCTCTGATTCTCAGTCAGTGACAAATTTTCTTAATACAGCTTAGTAATATTGCATAAAGGAATTCAGGGGCACTTGAGACAGAAAACAAATTGTATGGTTATATGTGATGTGTAATATAGCACAGAATTTTCTGAGCCTCACAGATGCTGTGACTCCTTCAAGATTTACTTGTCTGGCAGTTTTGAAGCTGTGTTTACATCTGTGTAATGGCTGCAGATGTCTGCCAAAGAGGAAGGTGAATAGGCTTTAGGATCAGCTTGGACAATTTGCATGTGTTTCTGGTATGTATGGTGTGTTCTCCCACAGTTTTCAGGGTGATTGCGCTTATTTATCTTTCTCCAGGAAAAAAAAAAAAATCCATCTTTTGGATGGAGAGAAACTGTGTTTGTGCAGCAGAAATAATAGGCAAGCAAAGCTGTGTCTTGGTGAAGCAAATGGTTTTTGCAGTGTAGTTGATTTCCAAATACTTGGTCATTGTTTAGGAATCTGTGGGTATTTTCTCACCTCTGATTCAAATCGTTTCACCTTCTGTGAGTATTCTGCTTATGCAAATAACATGGAAAGAAACTCGGGGTGTTTCTCAGATATGAGTTTCACTTGTTGCAGTCGTGTGCCAGTCATAGTCTTGCCTGTATCTGAACTGACCAAGTGAGCATCAGAGGCAGAGGTGGGGCAGCTGGGACCTCTATCACTGTTCGGGTAGTGTATATTATGAAGTGCTTGAAGTGCCATTTTGTATAGAGATGTGCAAATACTCTGTTACCTTTGCCTTATATTAGGCTTTTTAACAAATGAGTGAACTGTAGTCTTGCTAGTCTGCTGTGTCATTCACTCATAAAAGAGTCAAATTTAGAGGCCTGTTTAGTTCCCAGAAAAAAAAAATGGCTTGCCCTGCAGTAGGGAATATATAATATGCTCTTTAACTTTTCTCTGTTCTTCTTGAGGATGTTTTTCTGGAGCAAATACCCTCTTTCTGCCCTCTTAAGAGATTCATAAGCTAAAGCATTTTAGATTTTCTTTTGAGTTTCAATCTTATCTGGGGATAGCATTTTAGACTTGGTCACAGGTGTGATTTGTAGATGGTGAGTATTTTAGCTGAGATGAAGAGATAACTGAATGTATCACTGCTATCCTTTGTTTCTGTCCCATCCTATTTACTTTTCTACACATATGCACATGCAGTGTTGGTGCAAGATCACAAGACATGCTTACTGAGCTTTGGTCCACACTGTGTTGAGGGTGAGATGGCTGCCTACTCAGCTGATGAATAATGGGATTCTTAGAATCTCTGACAAACATTGAACAGTTGGTGGTGGTGGGAGAAGTGGCTTTTTGTTTCCAAACAGCTGAAAAAATTTGAAGGCTAGTGTGTTGTGCCTTGGATATCGCTCTCTAAGTCTTAAAGCTGGGATCTGTTGTGGTTCATGAGTCATAATCTTCCCAGAGACTGGTGACAAGAGGACTACAAGGGAATCTGTACAGGGATGTGTGCTGCTGAACTCTTCTATCTATCCTTTGGAAAAGGCGGTGGAATGTGCTGGCAGCAGATTTGACCCCAAGTTGGTGGGATGAATAATAAGCCCAAGCACAAGGCTGCCATGCAGTGGGCCCAATGCAGGTTGGAGTGGCTGCCAGGGACCTTATGTAATTCAGTAAGCGTGAATGCCAAGTCCTGTCCAGCAAAGGATGATTCAGTACAATGTGAGCATGGCTAGGTTTTTGTACAGCAACGTGTCAAGCTGTTCATAGCAATTATCTCAAATTCATAGGGCAATAATAAGAGCAGTGCATGACCTCTGAGGGGGCAGCCAGAAAGGGCCTCAGGGTTCTAGGTATTATCCAGTCTTGTGCTCTGGTAGTGGAAAGAGGCTGCTGACATCCTGGGCTGTGTAAGAGCACAGGCAGCAGGTGGGAGGAGCTGACAGCCTCCTCTCCTCCCTGCCTGATGGGCTGTGGAACCTCCTGGGAGGAGGTTATTAGGGGCTTCCCTCTTTTGCTAAAACTGCTTGATATTTTGTCGTGATGAATATGTGCTCCAGAGCCACTCAACCCTGGAGGAAATAATTTACTTCTGGGTCAGTTTGCTGACTTGTTTCTGTTGCAGTCCTTAAATTAATCCTTTCAGGAGTGCATATAACAAACTGGAGAACTGGTATTTTATTGCACTTGTGGCCAGTATTTGAATTTCTGTTTTCTAATTTGGGTATCTCTTCTCAAACACTGCCAGTGTAAAGTTAAATCTGTCTCTGCCTTCTGGCTTGAATCTGTACTTGCAATAAAGCTTTTAAGAGCACAGTGTCATTGAATCTGGTGGCCACTCAGACATCTCTATCCATCACTTTTCTTCAGAAGCATGGCACAATCTGTTATACAATGCATATAACAAATATAGACCAATTTCAGCTCCGCTACAGCAATATTTTTCCTAAACAAGATCCATAGCCTGTTAATGTTAAATATTAAATGCAAATATGAGAAAAATCTGCTTTTTATAGAGAAGATTATTGATTTCTTGGCTTTAAATATTAGGTAAGACTAATTGCTCACACGTGAATTTGAAGTTTTTGTATTTCAGAGAAGCTTGCAATCCTTAACACCCTCTCCATTCCCTGCAAACATTTAGAACAGCTATTTTCTCTTTCAGATGACAATTTTCATTTCAAGCAGGCTACAAGAGGTCATTTAGCTAATTTATGTGGAGATGAGGGAGCGCTGGTTGCACAGGCTTGAGAAATCAGGGAGATATGTAGCAAATAAGACTGCAGAAATAGTTGATGAAGTGCCATTGCTGTCAGCATTTGCAACTGTAGATTAAGGTGTTCACATCCTAATTTAGCCTTCTGCTTGAGGCACACCATTAACCTCCTGACAGCTAGCAAAGTGCATGCACTGTGGATCACCTGATCATTTTTTCCCCAAAATGTTGACTGTTTAAGTGCTGCAGAAGTGTTAAGGCTTTCTGGCCATAGGCTCCAGTTCTAATTTTAAGCTAAACTGATTACACGGAGACACAGAGCTGATGCTATTGAAAGGGACAGTGTGTTGTCTGTGAAATACAGACAACATTCTCAACTATTGTCACACACATCAGCAGCCTGGCTTCTTCTCTCCAAGCTGCATTTCAGCAAATTCCAGAATAATAAAAATTCAGACCATGTTATCTTCTATGAGTAATTCTCCTGCTTATGCTGTGTTATTCCAGGAACTGTGCTCTGCCAATGCCAACACTTGGCACAGATCTTGCTCCGACTCTTGCCCTGCTTTTAAGCACATTTTAACTATCACACATAGGAGATTATGGTGTGTGGGATATTTGTTTTTCTGTGACAGTTCTGTGTTGACTTTGATATTTGATAGAGCTCTTGTTATAAACCTCACTTGCATTCATCTTGATATGGGGTGAATAATAATGGAATGCTTTCCTAATGCTGTTCATCAGTATGGTTTACACAGGCTCCCTGATATGTTTTATTTAAATAGTTCATATCCAGCCAGTAAA